ATATTTGTTTCATAACTGCAAAAGACAAAAGTGTTACCTTGTACAAAACCGTAAAGGATGATATTTGGGAAATAAACACTGAAAAAGCTAAAATGTATTCACTTTGTGATCAGCTCAAAAATGTTGACCAGAAATAATAAAAATAAATTATTTTATTGTACTAGTATTTTAATATGTTTTGCACGTCACATATAAATTATTAATTAGTTTAATGGATTTCATAATAAATTGTTTTGCTACAATTATAAACACTATTATATTGCTTACGTATTGACTTATATTGATGTTTATTTATATTTCATCATGTACGGATAGGATTCAAATAATTGCTTTTAATAATTATTTGATTACTTTCGTGAGATTTGTTGTATCCAAGTTAAAAAAATTCCTTGTTTCACATTTTTAAAAGAATGGCGTATAAAAAGGTTTTATACTGTGCTTGGTTTGGACTGTACAGGATTTATCATCATAATATAATGGTAGGATATTATGACAGCACACTACAAATATGAAAAATATAGTTATCCAAAACTTGTTCAACTGATCAGTCCAAATATATAGTACATTATTCTCAATTTAAAAAGTGGATCCAATTTATGCGTTACTATTTAAGTTTCAAAAATAGATATATAAAAAAAAAAAATAGACAGTTTGGTTGGGCAATAAGTACAATACAATTTGTGGGTTTTCACATTAAATAAAAACACTATGGAAAAAAATTCAATTCATCATAAAACCCAGTGAGACATTGAATAAAAAATCGTCCTGTATTATTATTTGTAGACAAGTGTTAATGAATAAACATCTACTTATACAAATATCTCTTAGCCATACCCCGGCGACGAAACGTTTGTTTTTTACACACAGCAGTTTTTTGTACAGCGTGCAAGTGTAAAACACAAATTCCCGTTCGCCATATAAAACTTTGCATTAAAATGTATAACATTTTAAATTTCAGTACACAGTTTTTTGCGTCAATGAAATGTCGAACAAAGTGTCCACCGGGTTTCTCTTTTTGTATTTAATATTCTGTAACGGTGAACTTACTTTTGCATCTAACGCAGACATAAAAAATCTGTCTGACATTCTCAACGCACTATTTGGCCATCAACAATGGGCGCAGATTACCGATGTGGAAGCTAAACATCGAAACTTTTCAAACGAGTTCATTTCATTTTCAGGAAAGGATTTATTCATTTACAGAGGTCTGTTCTCTCGTGCAAAAAACACTGAGAACTCTCAAGTTAGTGTCGATAACGTGTTTAAAAAACACAACATGGTTATTTGTTTGTTAGGATGCGTATACTTGAACGCGACCGATGTATTTACAACGTTGATTTTACAACTTTTTGATTTAAGAACTAATGAAAGAGATAGATTACGCAAGAGAGCAAGTTATTTTAAACATAAAAAAAACAAGAGAATAAAAAACCTTCCGGAAAACATGACTCATGGACGTTTTTTCACTTACAATTCTAACTCGCAAAGTATACAACTGACAGCTAAAGCACAACTTGAACAACAGACCGAACGGACTGAACATGAAGAAAATGACGATCCAGACGAAGAGGAAAAAAAAGAATGTTTCAGGAGCATTTTAAATTTTACGCACCAACAATTATTGGACAGTCAGCCGATGTTTGAGTACATGTATGACGCATTAGTTTATTTGTTTAACTTGATTCCGCAAGAGGAATTTCATTTATATCCTAACGTATATGATGTACAAAACGTAATAGAGTTAATGAAGTGGTACAAAGATATAGCAATATATTTAAATCACTATTTTCCTACTTATATCGATGGACAAGATGTTCAATTTGATCGTAGTTCCGTTAGATTGTTCAAGGACATTAAACGCAGAAATAGAATTCAATGGAAACCGTTTGTGGACAAATATTGCACACTTCCAATTAAAGACAACGAGCACATCAAAAATTCAATAAAACAATTTAAAGCTAAGTATCCAGATAAAGAAGAAATAGATATCATGTATCAATTTGGAACTCAAATTCAAGAGCTCGTTAATAATGTTATTAAGAATCACTATTTAGATTTAGGTTTCGTGTACACCGAACAATAGCATTATGTTGTCTTTTTCAAAATTTATAATTAAATTATGAATTATTATAATAAAAAAGTCCATGTTTATCTAAACTGTTCAAGTTTGGGCCATGTAAAACGAAATTGTATAAGCTAATTAATTTCAAGAATTTTCTGCCATCGTCGAGACAATTTTGAGGCATACATCACATATTACATACATATCCGTTCATTCTATAGAACTTACTTTAATAAATCACAACACAGTTCTTGCCAAATAGCTTATCAGTCAAAACTATATATATGAAAATAATCGTCTTCCAATACAAATATATCTAACCATTCACCGGGAACGATACGTTTCATTCGCGGGTGTTAAATGTAAGCAAACACATTGAAAAACAATCAAGATTTTATTGTAACATTATATTACATTGCTGTTGTAACTTTAAAGTCAAGTGTTCTACAGACATACCAATACCAACTAAAAACACAATACACGAAAAATAGTGTCATTTGTCTATAAAAACAATACCGAACAATGCGCTCATGAACCGCAATTGCCTATACATAACTTTTTCATTAAATACAAATATATTTTATCTTCGACGCATAACTGAGAATTATTATTTTTGTAATGATGTGTTTTTGTTAATTTATTTATTTTGTGTCTGAATCCATGGTATCCTTTATATCTAATTCAAACTACCCAAACCGATTTCTTCATGTAGCATCTCTTTAGACCAAAAATCATACCCGGACGCTTTATTCGCCAAAAAATCAAAACATTTTAACCCCCTTCTCTTCAAAATAGAGGTAAAGTAAACCATTCAAACGTAAATTTGTAGATTTAAAAAAATCCTTTGCCTTTTATTGGTTAAATGTAATTTTAGCTCAATTGCCGCTTTATTATTTTCTTATGTTCCTTTCATCTGTACTTATAATATGTCATTGGTATATGTGTTCTTCCACCTCTTCAGTATCCAGATTTCTTCGTAGATGAATTTTTGCCTTGGTGTAATTACTCTTACTACATACAAGAACTTTGAGTTTTCTATTTTTTTATGTCTACGACTTTTTGAATGTAAGCAATAAGTACGACGGATGAGATAGTGCACTCCTGTCTTATAATAACTGTTTACTTTTTATATAGAATTATAAAACAGCCTTCTTTCCATGTGCTGTTTTCAATTCCATTAACATTGTCGACTAGTTGACATTGACGATACGAAACTATAATTACTCGGTTCAATCATCAATGCAGTACTAAAACTTTCCACGAGGAGGCTCATGATACTGATTACAATTTTTATATATTTCATAATAATTTAGTAATTGGCTACAAAGTATTTAAAAAAAAAAACCAGTATCCACACTACAAGCAGAAACGTAGGCACATGTATATGTCTTATGTCAAATATGTTAAATATAATATACTGTTTGAATGAGCAGGTTTAATGAGCGACGAAAACGAATTGGCTAGAACATTAAAAATTGTTTACCAGTGTTTAATCTCTTATCTCTAATATATTATATGTATATATATACTCGATAACGTTTTATGTGTTATCTTTTAGTAGTTTTATAATATCTGGCCTTAATAGATTTCTGTCAACATTTACCAGTAGTTAACTTCGCAGTAATAGTGTTGATTGTGTGGAAGTAAATTTTGCTTGTAACTCGAGAGATACTCGCTTGTTTTTTGTAAATCTGTGTTTGTTTTCTTTGTTACGATCCCCTCTATCGATGACGGTAGAGGGAACATCGTAGTGCTGACCGTTCCGGAAGGAAGACGCATAAAGTGTACCGTTGTTCCGTTGCTAAGACGAAAATATTCTAATTTGCAAATCGGATAGCAAAATCGAACAGCGGTGGTCCTGATCACGCGGCATAGACCCCAGTTGGTCTGAGTGGTGTCCCTGGCCCAGTAGCTCGCGTCAGAAATCCTGCAGGCAGTGGAAGACGCGAAAAAACACAAGGTTAGTTCCTATAGTATAACCGTGTTTCACGTCAGACTGTAACACGACTAGATGTCGTAACTTCATGCGCTTAGTCTTGACAGATAGAAGATGTTACCGCAAGTCCAACGCAAGGTTGCGCGGCCTTCTATCTGTCCTAGTGGCCGAGTTATCTTGGAAAAAACACTTTTTTTGTGAATTTTCCGTTTGAAAATTTGCGTTACCGAGTTTTGTTATTTTGCATAGCAACAGCCGTCAACAGCGGGTCAAATTATAGCTTTTGACTGGTTTCCTAGGGAGAAGTGGGATTTTGGGTGTTTTCTCATCGGCAATTGGTTTAAACTACTCCGGGACCTATAATAGGATAATGGTTGATGGCCCTTAGACACTGGAAGTAGGAGAAAAAGTTTTTCAGCCGAGTCTGCAACCACGAAAGAGCATTTGTCTCGTTGAAGTACCGAATAAATTTAGAGCAGTGGTGGAATTATAGATAATGCAATGTAGGTTATCAAGTACTTTTAAGGGTAAAAATGTATACTGTAGTAATAAAATATAAATATTTTATAAGTTTTTAGACTTCTTGCAATATAAATTCCCATAAAAGTTGAAAAAAAGTTGTAAAAAAATGCAAAAAGTGTTGAGAGGGAGCCGGATTTGAACCCGGTACCACTCACTCCTGGGAACCGATCACGCTCGACCGCACCACATATAGTTTTCATAACGCGTTACATTTTTTCTCGGTTAGGTCCCCTCGCCAACCCGCGATAAGGATCTTCGTTCCAAAAAATACCGTGTATTCCCAAGCACTCGAATAAATAAGTAGAATTAAAACGACACTTTAAAATGTTTTTCTGATAAAATAAACAATTATTAAAAGAAGTAGTACAAGCATGCGTCAGAATAATGTAAATATGCAATCTTATATCACAAAATATACCAGCTATGTAAATAATTTTACATAGACACCCAGTAAAAAAATGTAGGTTTCACTATTTCGGTCGATATATAGGGCCAACGATAAGTTGCAAGAAAATCATTACAAATCAGATAGTTTAGCAAGCTGATAGAATTCACATACACCTTACAAATGCTATCGTTTGAGTTATAAACGGTAAGTAACATTATCAAATATTGTACATTTTAGTATGCCTTTATTGATCTACCTTTCTTTGATGTTTGTCCTACTTTAGTACCATTAGGATGTTAGCTATTTCAGACCAAAATACTTGCTACACGAATATATTGGTCTAGTCGCTAATAATTTACCGTTGGTTCTGAAACAAAAAAATAAAAACATGGCTAATGACCTAGTTGTCAAAGCCTTACTACTACTATATGAATAAAATAATAAAAAAATAGAAACAGATCACTACAAAACAAAAACCTTCACAGCCCCGCATAGGTGCTTATAATTTATTGGAGTCTGTGACTAATATAATAGGCTTTTAAGTTTTTCCTTTTTTATAGTCAAAATGAAACTTTACTGCATTTCAATATCGCTAGTCTTTGTAAAGCTGTTGGCAATAGTTACAGGTGATTATTTTATTTTTACACGTACTTTTTTAATGTAGATAAAAATCTAAGAAAAATATCAATATTAAATGTTTCCTTACAGCGGACTATCGGACGTCAATTTTCGTTACAAGTCAGTATCATCTTTTCATATAAAAAAACTGTTTATGCTTTTACATTGTACCGTTTTCATAAATATGTTTGTTATATTTTATTGCAGACTTACACATTAAACTAGCTTTTGAAACAAGTGAGAAACATTTAGTGTTGATTTTCAGACGATTGAAAATAATACTACACTCCACCTTTCCTCCTGTCCTAAACTTGAAACCTCAATAACTTAAAAAATAGTAATACAAAAATGGTTATCAACCAGTCAATATTTGTAGTACATTATTCTCAACCAAAAAAAAATAATGACATGTAATCTTTACCATTTAAATTTCAAAAGCTGATAAATAAAATATTAGATTGGGAGGGGGGGTAAGAACATGGGGAACATGAAAATTTGTGGAAAAATTAGATCACATATGAAAAAAAAAATGTAATTTTTAATTAAACCCAGTGAGATATTGAGTAGCCCATAATAAAAGAATCACCCAGTGTTAACGATTAATTTATTTTAAAATTATTATACAGTTCAAACCATTTTTTTGATTGTAGATGCTGCTGGATTTCGGAATGTAGTTAAACATCTTATTAATGGATATATAACGATGGGTAGTCATAATATTGTATAATTAAACAAATCTAAGCTAAACAATAAAAATATTGATCACTAGTAGAAGACAACTATTTAAAAGTGATATAAATCATACATATTACTCTTAGATCTTAATGGAATCTGTCTGGAAAAAACACTGATGTTACCTCTTTCAAACTCAAAATAAAAATGTAATAAAACAGTACTGTGCAAATAATTTCTGAGTTAATAATAGTTATAATTTTTTCTACTTTCAACTCTGCCTTTCGTTAATATTAGAATAAAAAAAAATCCCATATCATTAAATGATCAACTTATGTTATTTTTATTTCAGAACAAATTTCTTTGATGTTAGCTATACCGGGTAACAATTTATGGACGTATTTGCATATATTTGTTTAATAATCATTAATCAGTAAATTTAGGCATAACTTATTTTCGGTTTAATTTTTAGAATGTACAAGAGCGTATGCTGAGTTTCGCGACTTACAAGGTAGTATATTTTTATATAATATTCCATATTTCTAGTACTTGTCATACCCAAAAGAAACGACACTATTTTTCGTACAAAGTGATTTAATTTTTTTACTTAAAAAAAAAAAACACTCAACTTGAGCCTTCAACGAACTCGCCATTGGAGTGAATACACTTGGCCAATCTTGTATTCTACTGTTCGAAACATTGTTTAAGTTCATCTTTTATAATGCCCGACAGCGCCTCAGTCGTTTTTGTCTTTACTCCAGCAACGTCCGTGAAACGCTTTCCTTTCATTCGGTGAAATAAAAAGAAGTCACAGGGGGCTAGATTGGGCGAATAGGGAGGATGGGGTACAGTGGTCATACCATTTTTGGTAAAAAATCGGCGCACATAGAGGGTTGTATGAGAGGAAGCGTTGCAGTGGTGGTTAAACTAGGCCTGGGTGATCTTATATTTACAATGATGTGTTTTTATTTACTTTTTTTTTTGCGTCTGTACCCAAGATATCTTTTTAACGTACTTTCTTCGTGTAGCGACGCTGTAGTAGACCAGAAATTATACCTGTTAAGTACTTTATCTGACCAAAAATGTCATCGCTCCCCTTTCAAAATCGAAAAAAAAACCAACAAAATTTAGATATTTTTTGAATTTTTTTTTTTTACTACTACTACAACTTTTACAACTGCTGCTGCTGCTGCTGCTAATACTACTTTTGCTACAGTTGATGTATATAATATAATATATATTTTTTCATACAATAGTAAATTGTTTTTTCGTTTGTCATTTACATTTTATTTGCTTTATTAGTCTATCTGTTTTTAGTAATAATTGTTTTTCGTTTTTTTACCAATACTACTACTACTACTACTACTACTACTTTTGCTACAGTTGACACTTAATTTTTTTTTAATAACTGATAATGATTTTCCATTTGTTAATTACATTTTATTTACGGCTCCATTACATTTTTTTTAAATAGAATTAATTTTTAATTTTTAAGCATATACTTGACCTTGGGTACTATGCTTTTAAATATATTTTTATTGTTGTCTGTGAAAACTGAACCTCCTTAACTTACTTACTCACTTACGTATAATACTCTTTTACTGTGCAAGATTATACTGGGTTTTGTTTAATCTGTATTGATTTGAACCTACTATTCATAGGTTCGCATCGAAGCGTTTATTTAAATATTTAAAATTGATTTTATAACAATATTATTCCTGTAGACCAGTGAATTCCTCGCCCCAACTATTCCTAGACCTCACTGTACTGACTTTCATTCATTATTTTTTGGTTTTTTCCTATGACTTACACTTTCAATTGATAGAAGTCAGTTCGGATAAGAAATGATTAACATTTCTGATCCCTAGCCCAACTTTAAGTACTTTTTCATAATTGTTTATTATGAATTGGTAATATCGAAAAATTCTACATTAAAAACTAAGTAAGTAAGGTGTTTTTAATTATAAAAGTGATTGTTAAAACCTAAGAGTGTGAACTTATTAGAAGTGTCATAATTCACCTATTTTCTAAAATGCATTTTTTTTAAATTTTAGAACCATATTTAATAGCTGAACAGGAAATATTGCAAGGAGTAATAGTGCATATTACAGGTAAAAATTAAATTTAACATAATTATACGTATATTTTACATTAATTATTATTATTTGTTCCAAGTAATATCAAGTTTAGAGTGATTGTTATTGACAAAAAAAAAAATTGTGTTTGATTTATTATTTAATTATTTTATATATTTCTTACAGGTATCCCTGTGCCTCAACTCGTAGGCAACGAAGGTAACCATACATTAATTAACATGCGTAAATAGCCCTTAAATGCTTATAGTAAAGACGGGGAGGTCACAATTATACAGAAACTATTATAACTTAAAGTAATAAAATTACTTCTAAATAAAACCTTCGATGCAAATCTGTAGACGTTAGGAATATTAAGCATTGATAAGAACACTGTAAAGGTACATAGTAAACACTGTAATAATGTTCTATAATTTTTTATATTTTCTTGAAAATACTGAAATTTACTCATTTCTGCAGATATTGAAAATCATACATTAGATTGGCTAGGACATGCTAGAAGACTTATAACAAGTGAAGTTACGACATCTTTAGCTTTCGATGCCATAGGTGTAGGTAAGCTTAGTAATTATCTTAGACTTTTACTGGGTTTGCTTTTAGTTATATTGAATTATGCCATTTTACATATTACTCGAATAATGAATTAATAAAAACAATTATTTTTCAATTCTGTGTTTTTAATAATAATCATAAATAATACCTAATAACAATCATATCACAGCAGCACACAAACTTTTTTATTATTGTTATAAAAGTAAAGAAATCGCCACCACATAGAATTAATTTGTCTTGTCCTAGCATATAATTATTACTAATATTATGAATACACCTATTTTGTGTCCTTTAAATTAGTTTAGAAAAACCAATTTTTTTTTCTTTTATAGTCGGAAGCGAACTAGTAATTCGCGAAGATTTTACCAAGTTGTGTCGTTTAATAGGTTTGTTCAGAAGTATAAAATTCCCAGATTCATTAATACAATTTGCTGAAGTTGACATTTACGGTACTTGTAGCTTAACTACAATTGATGGAAGAGAATACAAATATAGACGTTTTAGTGGCATAACCGTGGAAGTACAACTCTTTAATATTACAAAAGTAGTAGAACTCTTTATTGTACAGTTAAACAATTGGTAATATAGACGAGGAATCGTAGCCAACTTTTTAAATATTGTATAGTAGTGTTGTTATTTTGCACCAATAATATTTATATGCCGCACTTAAAATTAAAATTATCAATAATTACAATATATATTTTATAATATATAATTTTGCTCACAATTATAAACCTATTTATTGCTTTATTTATTGGTTCATAGTGATTTTTATCACTATTTACCGTACGGAATTTTATTCGGAGACTCATTATTTATTGGCTCATTATTAACGACCACTCTTTTCCACCTATCCATCTATCTGTTGCACTTCTTCGATATTATTTATTCACATCAAGCACGGGTGGGGTGATGTTCGTCTACCGGTTATCGTCTGGAGAAGCGGAAGACCACGAGATTGAAATGACACGGCCGTTGAAAAAGTCATCGGACCGTGTCAGACACGTCGATAATCTGGAAGAAAATATTAGCTGCAAAATTCTTTGGAACACAATTTATTCGAGCAATAGTTGGAGGAGAATAAATAAAACCATTGGAATCATTTGACATATTTTTAGAAATATTTGGAGTATTGAAATCACCAATGAAGATAACCATATGGTCGAATAATTATAAATTAAAGTTTTGAAAGAACTCAAAAATGTCTCATAGGACGTAGACGGTAAGTTAGGCGGAAGGTACATACACCACCAACTAAAAACTTTTTTTGAATTATAATTGAAACACACAAAAATATGTTCAACGCTATTATTAGTACTATAAATTACATAAGCAGGTATGGTGATGCGTATACCAACAAGAACCCTACCACCTCTAGAATAGCTGCTAGTGACACTACTACTATCACATCTAAAAATATTATAATTACTTAAACTTAATTCTCCATCGGCTTTTCGCCATTGAGCCATGTTTCATATTTATTTGAAGTAGATGTACACTGGATTGACAGGTCACGAAATAGATCGTTAACTATATTAGAAATTGACTGAGGAGTTTCATCGGACGCAGGAACATTAAATACCATAAGTTTAGAAGTCTTTGACAACCTTTCCTGTGTTTCATGTAAGATATCACATTCAGAGGCAAGAATCTGAAGTGATTTAACCTCAATGGCCAAAGCGGCGTTTTAATCTTTGACCAGGACCAATTCAGTAGATAACTTATCAAGTGTAGACGAAAAAGATTTTAGATTTTTTTCCAGACTCTTAATACTATTTACACTAGTTACCAGATTACTATCGTGGGCCGAAACAGTCAATTGAGTGGATAACAATAAACTCCAGACACCATCTAAGGTTACTTCCTTTTGGTTTTTTAACGCCCGTCTGGTCACACGCTGTGATTTAGGCGAGTTGTTTTTTACCGTGACATTAAAATAACAAGAACGCCCGGTAAACGAAGAATAGATTACACAGATAGCTCATCAATTAATATGACGCCGAACCAATTGTAGTTAGGCAATATAACATAGCCGAATAGCGGAAACGATAATCCAGCTCCTCCACGGGCGAACAGGTATTAATATTATAAACAGGTAAAAGTAAAACCATAAAAAGAAAAGGAGCACAACCATTACACTATAGAACAACGCTAAAAACATTGGAGTGTGGACCAATCGCAACCCACATGTTACTCGCAAAAATGCTGTTACTGTACATATTGAACAATCACCTATGTAAATAAATTTACAACGGTACACTGCCAAATATATTTCTGACTCTCTCTTTTTGTCGAAATACAAGCCATAAAAAGCATAAGAAAATCACTTGGAAACTATTCGTTTAATAAGGTGTTTGAATTATTCATTGGTTTAATACGGTTTTTAGTACACTTTTAATCAAATTTGTATGGACAAATATTAAAATATTGATTGAAAAGTATCTATACGTTATAATATATGTATTGATGATATAAAATTATATTTTCTTATTTGTATCTTATTCCTAGTAAATGGTTTGTGACAAAATATAATCAACAAGACAAAAGAAAATCACTTCAAAATATTTCGTTCAACGAGCCAGTCAAATTAACCATAGTCTTCAAAAGTTGTAAGTATGCTTTTAACAAAATATGTTTGAGCCTCTATTGAAATAATTACTGCAACGTATAAATAGTTAAATATGCATTGAAGATAAAAAATTGTATTTTTTATTTTGAATCTTAAACACAGGGTGATCCACTTATCGTGAACCACTCAAAAGTTTGGAAGGGTGTAAAAACTAAAAAAAAATTTGAAAAATTGAGATCACATGGTATAAAAAAAAAATATGAAAAAAAAAGGTTAATTTCTCATTAAACCTTATGAGATATTGAGTGGTTCACGATAAGTGGATCACCCTGTATTCTAATAAGTTTAAGTTGTACTATATTTTGCATTATTTATTGTTGTATTAACGCCAAACGGCAATTGTGTAAGTAAACATGAATATAAGACGAATATATGAAATAACAAGTATTAAAATTGAAATTAAGCGAGTAACAACAAAGTGTAATAATTCTAAACAAGTATCTTAAACTAAACATTAATCATTAAGGTAAAAACTATGAGGTAGCGTTATTAAGGAAACGTAGCATTCGATGTAGAGGATAGTTATAACCGTAAGAGGTTGAATGTGGAGGAATATAGAAACATCAGTTTTTGTGATGGTATGGACAATGTCGACGGTAGATTTCAAATAAATGGGCTTAGCTTCTGTTTGGTGGTTAGATAATACTTTATGGTTTGAGTTCAGTTTGATTTTCATATTTTCCTATCACTTATCTTTTGTCAATTTTCTCTTGTCAACATCCTAAATCAATGTCGGGAAAACAGTTTCAGAAAAAACAAAGGTTTCTCCGCTCACAGAAATACATATTACAATCATGGAAATATTTTTCCCCTTTCCTCCCTGACCTATACCCTCCTCTAATTCCATAACTCTGGTCTAAACTCTTAAAATTGATGACGAAATCCCAGTTAAACCCTTAAGACATAGTATTGTTAATACTCTGTTCTCATTATGTCTCCATTCCACAGTGCTAACCATACCAAAAAAATATCTCACTAAGTTTAGAACTAAATCGAATGTTTTACAAAAAGTTATGGTAGGCCTAAAATTAAGTTAAATAATATTATGTTACATTTTTCTTAAATTTTAAGAGAGAGGGGTGATTTTTTTATAATCATTGACACAGTAAAGTATCCTACATGTACGATTACTGGCTCGTAACATAAAAAATGAATTTATCAATCTATATAGATAGGAACTAGGATGTCTTTAGCTATTCTAGTAAAAAAATAATACTAATCAAATGTGTTAATTAAAAAAAAAATTGTCGTGAATCCAAAACCTTCTCGTCTTCCTTCTGGAGGAGACTGTGAACAATTTTAATTGCTCTTATGTTTATTATTTTTTGCAGATAAAATGAAACTTCTCTGTGTTTTAATATCATTTTTCTTTTCAAATGTTTCGGCAGAAAACAGTAATTATTTTACTTTATTTACATACTCACCTACACGATGTAGGTAAAAATGTATATAAAAAAATAGGTAATATTTAACTCTTCTTTACAGCGGACTCCCCATACGCAGGGTCGGTCGCCATTACAAGTCAGTAACATTTTGAATTTTTAGATTGTTCACATTTTTTTTTTTTACAATTTTTTCCATACTGATTTTACAAATATTTTTTAAATAATTTACTATAGACAGACACATCCAGATGGCTTCTGACCATTACTATGATCCAGAAGAAAGTAAGATAATATATACAAACGTTATATACTAATTTATAATTGTGTTCTTATGTTTGCGTAATAGCCAAATTATTTATATATATATATAATAGTTTATTATTTCTATTAATATTCCAAGTGCACGAGTTATGTAGCTAGTTTCAGTGAACCGAACACTGCATTAATGTAACTGCATTTGTAATATTATATCATTTTGAATACGTTTTTTTTTTTATATTTTCGGTTTGGGTTGCGACCGCACCATTGCACATAGACACGTGCCGCCATTGACAGTTTCTATTATTTATTAAGGGCACACTTGACTGTAGGAAGGGCCCATTTAACACAACAGGGGGAGTCGTCTAAGCCATGATGACATTTTATATTTATTATGGTTTTTTTTTTTTTTAATTTAAAGCTGAACCTTTATTCGTTTGATATAGATGGATTGGAGTATGTAATTAGTAAAATTGTTGATGAAGATTTATATAATATAGGTAATATTAATTATTTAGCAATAAAAAATAATAAACATAAATCTTGATAGTAGAAAAAATATTTGAAATTTATATACAGATAACAACAAACGATCTTGTTTAAGCAAATTTATCAGCGATTTAAATCATATCTTTTTATTTATCTTATTCTAATAGCCACAGTTTACATACAGCCATAATTTTTTCATGAAGTTGCTTGATCCAAGTATTTTCTTCCGAAATATTACTACTTAATATGTTTTTTCTATTTGGACCTTCGTATTCTAATTTATACAGATTAAAAAATATTATTGTTATCTTATTTAATGTTGTTTCCAGAGACTATGAGTTTGATGATCGTTTTACCGGGTAAATTGATATTCGTTGCAATTTTTTGGAAATATTTCTACACAATTGTTTGATATTCATTAAAATATATACAACAGTTATGTTTTAATTTCAGAACTTGCATTAACTGATAAGATAGAAGACGAACAAGGTAATAAATATTTACTATTATGTGTAACATATTTCATACATACAATGCGTAAATACACAGAATCACTTTTACAATATTAATTTCTATTATGAGAAAATATTTACATTCAAGTTTTTATTATTTTTATTTTAGAATCTTTGATTAAACAGGAATACATGCAAAGAGAAATATCTCAAAACATTTGTAAATATAAAATACAAAATTATTTTTAAATAAACAATTATCATCAAAATTAATAGTTACTTATTTATAAAGAAAATCTTTGGAAAATGATATTAATTTTCAAATTTATAAAACGATTGTTGTTTTCTAAACTTATGATTATCGCACGAAAAAAATCCTATCCACAAAAATACTTCACTTTATTTAGGTTTTTTAGGTTTTTTTTATTTAATAATAACTTTTACTTTTAAGCTTTTGATGATCGTTTAAAATACGATTCAAATCGTTCATAAAAATGTTGCTATAAGAATAATTTTATTTTTATGTAACATTTTGCATTGATTAATTGGTCTGTTTAATATAAGTTTTAGAGTGACTGTTAACGATAAAATATTAAAACCGGGTTTAATTAAATAGATAATTGTTTGATATCTTTGTTATAGATATTCCTGTGCCTGATGCACCGGATGATACAGAAAACAGTAATTACGAATTTATTCAATAGTAGTAGATAAAAGTTATGGCTTGTTTTATAAATGACATATATTATATTTATTTATATATTTTATGTTAACACATTATAAACACGAATTAATTTATAAAGTTTTATTAACTACAAGATGCTTTATTCATTTTAAAGGTTTTGAAGATTTAAATTTGTTCAGTCTTGGAAATGACAGAAGAAGTCTTACTAGAAAAGCTTTAAAAAATGTAATTCTCCATAAATTAGGTGAATATAAATAAAGTGTTTTAACGGTATTGCTTTTTAAACCATTATATATATATACATATATGAGCAAAAAAAACAAAGTACAAAGTACTTTTGTCGATAGTAGAATACGGATACCGTGTATAGTGTTGTAAATATTTTTTTAAACTTTATTTAAACACTTATTGAAGTTGTGTCTTGCACAATAAAAAAATGATTGGCTAGTAAGCTAAATTTAGCAAAACATTTTTTTTTATTTACATTTAAATGTTTTTGCTATGGGTACACTTTTTTTTTCTTCTAACCGATTTCACGTAACGAAAAATGTATGGGTGTGGCGCAATCTAGCGGTTGTTTTTTTACCAAGAGATGGTGCATGGGTGTTTTTAATTTTCACCGCTAGATGGCACCAAAACGGATTGCAAAATACTCATACCATTCAATGTTTTACTGTGAAGCGGAGAAATGAACTTTTTTTGTACAAATTAACTGATAAAACGGATTTTTTTTTAGCCGCAGCTGCATTTGAACCACGAATAAGCCAAATAGGGGAGATGTATCGTGTTTTTAAGTTGTGTAATTTGTTAGCAATGTGGATAAGTACATACACTACATTATTAACATCTACTGATGTTAATAATTCTATTGATCGCATTTGTATCTTAAACGATGAATCCAACCAAGTTACAAAATACAGATCTATTGAGGGCACATATTATCAAGTAGACGAGGTTATCGTCGATGTACCATTAATAAGTCTTGAACAACTGCTGATGGACAGTGAATAACGTGAAAAAATTATGAAGAATTTATGGAACATATTTTATGATTTACACTCATTATATAAGGTATAACTCCTATAAAATATTTTGTGTGCACTTATATACTTTATAATTTCAAAAATATCTGAATTTTTAATTGATTGTATGTAATTCATAATAAACTGTTTCGTTCACGATGATTAACACATTTGTTTCTCATGTATTTATGTTATTGCTTAAGACTTTATTTTGCTAGGAAACAGGTCTTAAAACCTAGTTTGGTCACTTTGAGGATGGTAGTGTTCTATCTCGCTTTCTACAAAACTTCTTTGCCATATGAAAGAGGCCGTCTTAGCCGAGTTAAATATCAATAAAATCACAATACAGAGAATCAACAAGTAACAATATACAAATGTATTAAAACTATTGTATTTGTTATCATATTTTTTTGGGGGATTTTCCTTAATCCGGATTACTCGCTCTCGTATTATAGTGGCTGTCTAGTTCTTACTTTATATCAAATAAATTACAATTTAAATTATTTTATGTGTACATTATAAAGACAAGTGAGTGTAAAACTAGTAGCTGTTAAAAAATAGTCCAAAATTTACGTCAGTGAATTGTAGATAATATGACGTAATCGTTAAAAAAATAAACCTAAGTAAATAAATTAACAACGGTATAGTTTTCGTCGAAATACAAGCCAGACAAGACATAAGAAAGTCACTCTAAGACGATTTGTTCAATAAGATGTTCGAATTACTCATTGTTTTAAGAAGTTGTAAGTACGCTATAATCCATAATGTATGGACAAATTATAAATTTATAAGACCAACTAAATTACACATAACTACTAAAAAATATTGTTCTGAGAGAGATTGGTCAGTCAATCTTATCACAACTTCGTGGGTAAATACTTAACAACTTCTACATTTGTAAATAAATTCTGACCAATCAGAGTGCAGATTAGCTGGTTGACCGCTCTCTTATCATATGGGCTGTCTAGTTTTTAGTCAACACAAATCGAATTTAAATTTAAAATCTTTTTTTGTAAAACTTAAATAAACGTGTAGTTGTAAAACTAATAGCCAACAAGAAAATAGTCTAGACTCCATTTTGGTGTAATGTAGATATGAAATAAAATAAAAAATATAAACCAGCTATGTAAATAATTGTACAACAGTATTTTGTAAAATATATTTGTACTTTATTACTTCGGTCAAAGTATAAGCGAAACAAGTCTCTGCAAAACAGTTCATTTAACATTAGTCATTGTTTTAATAAGCTGTAAGTAGATTTAAAAAAAAAATTACATGGGCAAATCTTAAAATACTGGTTGAATAATATAAATACGTTAGGTATGCATTAATGATACAAAATTATATTATCTATTATTGTATTAACTATATTTTTTAATCAATAGTAGAGCGTTAATCTAATTGTTAGTTTGTGTTTTATTCAAATACCAAACTTCCACTTGTACATACCCTTTAGCTGTGTACATTGTGTATGTTAATGCAACATCCAGTCAAAAAAATAAAACCAAAACCTTTTCATGTTTTTGTTTGAGGAAACTATAAAAAAATTGTTTTCGTGTTTATTATTATTTGCAGATAAAATGAAACTCTTATATTATGTTTTAATAACATTCGTCTTTTTAAATGTTTCGGCAGAAAGAAGTAATTCATTTATTTTCATTTTAACCTACACGATACGGGTAAAAATATAAAAAAAAGGTAATATTAAACTCTCATTTACAGCGGACTCTTCATATATAAGAACAGTTGCCATTACAAGTCAGTAACAATTTGAGTTTTTTTTTAATTCTTACATTGTATTTATACAATTTTATACATGCTGATTTTATAAATACATATTTTTTAAATTATTTACTACAGACGCATACATCCAGTCAGCTTCTGACTATAATGATGATATAGTAAAAAGTAAGAATTTAAACAGGGTGATCATTTTATCGCGAACCACTCAATATCTCATATGGTTTAATTAGAAAGTACATTTTTTTCTACATAGTGTTTTTATACGATGTGATTTCAATTTTTCACAAATATTTTTTTGTTTTTACCCCCTCAAACATTAATAATTTTTATACCAACATTTGTAACTTAATTGGGAACGTAAGTATTTTAATAACTTTTTAAATTTAAAACCCTAAAGAGTCACTTAAAGCATTATGTAGTTTTATTCTGATGATGATTTGTAGAACTACTATGATTTTTTTTTTGAAATTTTTTTTATAGCTCAAGCCTTTATTTGTTTTTTTTAGATGGATTGGAACATGTAATTGAACAAATTGTTTCTGACGATTGTTATTCACTTGGTAAAACTAATTATATAATAATAAGAAAAAATGAAAATAAAGATTAATAGTAAACAAAATATTTGAAGTATATAGTATAAAAAAAACCACGACAAAATTTCATATTTAAGCAAATTGATCAATGACATACATTTTAGGTTATCAAATTATTTGTCAATTTTACCATTTTATTTATATGTATACATCATAAGGTATTCACCATATTTATTATATTGGGCAAATTGAGTCACTAACTTCCGTATTACTTAACACACGTACTTTTTCTATCTTTACCTTTTTATTTAAATTGGTAATAGATTGGAAAATTCAATCCGATATTATTAATTTATGTTATATTAATTTCAGGCAACATGAGTCTTATGATTGCTGTACCGGGTAATAATTTTCTTTATTTTTTCCGTTTTATGAAAATATTTCCACACAATTGTTCGGTATTCATTAGGTGGTATACAATGATTTTCATATAATTTCAGATCATGCACTTACGGACAACCTAAAGGACCAAGAAGGTAGTCAATAATCGCCTTTATTTATTTAATATTTATAATGCATTACACAGCAATAGCAATATTTAGGTCATGATCTTTTATAAATGTATTTAATTTGTAATTTTGTATTTAGTTTTACTTTAAAATAGTATCTAATTCTTAGTCCTAGACAAACCCTGGTTGCACTACTGTTGCACAAAATCATAGGTGCAGTATTGGTTTGTATTATAATAAAATATGTACATTCAAGTTTATTTTATTTTAAATATAGAATCTATTGAACGAGATATATTTGTGCAACAAAAGATAAACATTGAATTAGGCAAGTATACGATTTATAATTTTTAAGCGAATAATTATCAACATTAATAATTACTTAGTTTTAAAGAAAATTAATAAAAATTCGTATGTTTATTCAATGTATTGCATTGATAAGTTGATCAAAACAAACTCAATTTTAGAATGGCTGTTGTAGATAAAGTATAAAAATTGGGTTGTACTAATTATATGGTTTTTTATATTTTTGTTACAGATATTTCTGTGCCTGATGATCCAAACCAAAGTAATTACGAATTTATTCTACAGTAGTAAATAGAAATAACGACTCTTTTAAAAATAAAATTTGTGTTTTATGTATTTCCTGTTCGCATATTACTAACAATAAATTTAACTTTCAGTTGTTTTAACTATGTAAAATAAATGTGTATAATAACTGAATAATATTTGGCTTTAATAGAATGCTAAATATAAAAAATAAATATTATGTACAACTATTAAATTTCTTTAGGATATGATAGAATACCGAAATTTAATGTTGCAGTGATTGGGCCCTTCCACTCTTCGTCTACAATTTTAGTTGACTACAATTTTATAATATATTAAAAGTTCTTTGCGTTAGTTGAAGCATAGAAAAAAATACTTTCTTCGAGTTTCAAAATAAATATTAGTAATGTTTTAATTCTTTGATATATAACGACAACATTATGAAAATGACGAGAAACTAGTTAATTTTTAGTTTTTTTATTTGAAAATGTTACCACAATCTATACATTTTTGCAGGTTTTGGAAATTTAAATTTGATCGATCTTGGAGATGCGAGAAGACATCTGACTGGAAAAGCATTAAACAATATAATTGCCCGTAAATTACGAAAATTTGGTAAATTACAGTTATAGTGATATTTGCTTTTTAACCATTATATATACAAGCTTAACATGCCTTGATAGCCCGACGCTGTTATCGTAGAATTATGGTTTCTAGATGAATTGGCCCTTTTATTTTTACATACACTTGTAGTATTTTGGTCATAAACAATAAAGAAAAGTTTTGGCCTAAAAACTGAATTTATCAATTTAAAAATTGTCTTTTTAATTTTATTTTTTAGCTTCGTCGTACCACAGATTAAGTGTGTACGCCTGGGAGTATCGCATACACGAAATGTGTGATTTCTTAGGATTGTGGATGAGTACAAAATCTGCTGTATTAACAACTGCTGCTGATATTCATGATTATGTTATTTGTATCTTAATAGATATAGCCGGGCATGTTACAAAATACAGATCTTTCCGGGGCATATACTGGCAAGTACATGTCGACAACATTGATAATAAAATAATAAAACTTGAAGACCAGTTAATTTAGACCACGAATCTAAGATACGAATTTTCTAAAACTATATAATACATTTTCTATAATACTTGCATTGTACACTAATATTGTAATTGTCAATTAGTTTAATGTATTACATAATAAACTGTTTCCCTTAAAATAATAAACACATTTGTTTAAGATTTTTATTTTGAAACATATTTTAAGGTAAGTTTAAACCAACAGGAGGAGGATGATGGTCTCTTTCATCCTATAGATCGTTCCACTAAAAGAGAGACCACCTTAGTCTAGTTAATTATCGATTATTTCAGTCAATTAGCCAATAGAATATTAGGTTTGTATTGGAATACAATTTTAAAAAATACTAATAACTAGGTTTTTTGGCTGATTTAACCTATTATCGGCGTGGCAGTTATAATAGTGATTATTTTTTATCATCAGCGCATAACTGTTATTATTTATTATTTCTAACTAATTATTTATAACTCAAACTTCATCTCCTAATCCATCTCTAACTCCATCTCCAACCCCATCTTTAACTCAATGGCACAATACATCTTCAACTGCATCTTCAATTTTAGCTTAACGCAAACTTCAACTCCTACTCCATCTCTAACTCCATCTACAACTCCATTTCCAACTCCAACTCCAACTCCAACTCCAACTCCAACTCCAACTCCAACTTCATTTTCAACTTCAACTTCAACTTTAACTTCAACTTCAACTTCAACTTCAACTTCAACTCCAACTCCAACTCTAACTTCATTTTCAACTCCAACTTCACTTCATTTTCAACTTCAACTTCAACTTCATTTTCAACTTCAATTTCAACTTCAACTCCAACTCCAACTCCAACTCCAACTCCAACTTCATTTTCAACTTCAACTTCAACTTCAACTTCAACTTCAACTTCAACTTCAACTCCAACTCCAACTTCATTTTCAACTTCAACTTCAACTTCAACTTCAACTTAAACTTCAACTTCAACTTCAACTTCAACTCCAACTCCAACTTCATTTTCAACTTCATTTTCAACTTCAACTTCAACTTCAACTTCAACTTCAACTTCAACTCCAACTTCATTTTCAACTTCAACTATAACTTCAACTTCAACTTCATTTTCAACTTCAACTTCAACTCCAACTCCAACTTCATTTTCAACTACAACTTCACTTCATTTTCAACTTCAACTTCAATTTCAACTTCAACTTCAACTTCAACTTCAACTCCAACTCCAACTCCAACTCCAACTCCAACTCCAACTCCAACTCCAACTCCAACTCCAACTTCAACTTCAACTTCAACTTCATCTTCAACTTCAACTTCAACTTCAACTTCAACTCCAACTCCAACTCTAACTTCATTTTCAACTACAACTTCACTTCATTTTCAACTTCAACTTCAACTTCATTTTCAACTTCAATTTCAACTTCAACTCCAACTCCAACTCCAACTCCAACTCCAACTTCATTTTCAACTTCAACTTCAACTTCAACTTCAACTTCAACTTCAACATCAACTTCAACTCCAACTCCAACTTCATTTTCAACTTCAACTTCAACTTCAACTTCAACTTTAACTTAAACTTCAACTTTAACTTCAACTTCAACTCCAACTCCAACTTCATTTTCAACTTCATTTTCATTTTCAACTTCAACTTCAACTTCAACTTCAACTTCAACTCCAACTTCATTTTCAACTTCAACTATAACTTCAACTTCAACTTCATTTTCAACTTCAACTTCAACTCCAACTCCAACTTCATTTTCAACTACAACTTCACTTCATTTTCAACTTCAACTTCAATTTCAACTTCAACTTCAACTTCAACTTCAACTTCAACTTCAACTCCAACTCCAACTTCAATTTCAACTTCAACTTCAACTTAAACTTCAACTTAATTTTCAACTTCAACTTCAACTTCAACTTCATTTTCAACTTCAACTTCAACTTCAACTTCAACTTCAACTTCAACTTCAACTTCAACTTCAACTTCAACTTCAACTTCAACTTCAACTTCAACTTCATCTCCAACTCCATCTCAAACTCCAACTCCACCTTCATCTTCAGCTTTTGATCCATTTCTATTTGAAGCTTGATTTTCAACTGGACAAAAGACTAAGTTTTAATGAACATACAAATAAAGCTACTATGGAAGCTGGAAATCAACGAATTCAATTGGAAGACTTATGCTAATTATCGGCGGACCGTCCCAATCGAAAAGATTATTGCTAACGACGTAAACTCCAAAATGTTCCACGTATCACCAACATGGGCGAAACTTGCATTCAAGACGGCCAAAAATTGGAAGGTGTGTATCAAAGTCTAACGTCGAGGAGCCCTACGTGTAACTAGAGCCTACCGGACCATGTCTGACGATGCGGCCCTGATTTTGACCTGCATGCTACCAGCGGACTTATTAACCCAAGAGAGAGAGAGGGTTAGGTTTCGAAAGGTAGAAGGTACTACCCAACCTTTTATCATTAAAACGGAGGAAAGGGCTAAAACAATTAGTGAGTGGCAGGAAAAGTGGAGCGCTTCACCTGAAGCTAGCTGGATTAGACGGATCTTGCCGAGTCTGGCCTGATGAATAGAGAGACAGAACCCTGTAGTCACGTTTCACCTAACACAAGTGTTGACAGGTCATGGGTGCTTCCAAGAGTACTTGTGGAAGAGGAAAATAGCCCAGAGTCCACAATGTGTGTACTGTCAGGATCTGATGGATAATGTAGAGCATACAGTGTTCTACTGCGAGCATTGGGCCCATTGTAGTACAGTACTTCAACAACTCTTCAGAAGACCACCAAATCCGAAAGATGTGGAAGATCTGCTGTGTGGCACAAACGTGAAAGAGCTTCCAGAGGGTAGTCATAGAGCCCGTCTAATGGAGGGTCTGACAAATCGCAGATAGCATTCGTGAGCATAGTGGGCTCGATAATGGATGCGAAAACAAATGACGGAAGAGAACGAGAGCGACTCCTTAGAGGAAGAGTGACATAATAGCGTAATAATTGTATAAAACCGAGCATGTAAATGTAAATGTGAGACCCCCCCCCCACCCGCAGGGGTATAGGGGATTTTTTTTACAAATAACAGTATTTATATATGTACATATGTGAATAAACGATGACGGCTAATGAGGGGAAGTCATGTGGAAAACAGTTCCCCCTCATTGGTTTTGTATTAAACAAAAAAAAAGCTCCAGCGCCACCTTATGCTCCATCTCCATCTCCATCTTCAGTTCCTTCAACAGCTCCAGATTGAGCTCCAACTCCATCTCCATCTTTAGTTTTTGCTCCATTTCTATCTGAAGTTTGATCTCTATTTCCATCTCCATATCCAGCTCCAACTTTAGCTCCTGCTGCGTCTCTAGCCCCATCTCTCACCTATTAATTGGTAGAAAAATTGGTTTTAACGCCAATTCCTTTACAAAATATTTTATACTTAAAAATTCACAGAATTATAACGAGACACTTCGCATCCATCAATGATCACATATTTTAATGAAACGATGTAAAATCTATAGGTATCCTTTAAAAAAAATACCAAAACCTGATTATTGTATTATAATATTTTATTTCATTATTTTTTTTAAAACTTTATTCCAACGACCATTATTTTGTCACGTGTAGAAATAATATAAACACAAATGTTTTAAATTTCAATAAATACACATAGCCACAACACAAATATACTTAAATTTTAACAATCTTAAGTGTATAAATTACACTAAGCATAATTATTATTGTCTGTATATATTATTTAATTAAATAATTTCGCGGTTCAAAAAAAATTAAACACGTGCGTGCGAAAATCCTAAAAATGTCATTGTACGATAATATTGTCAATTTAAAATTTACTTAAGTATTCAATTTTTTAACAAAGCTATATTATTGAGTTCAAAATAAAATGTTACATAGTTAAAAGATACCTCCACTGCCCCTATAAAATCATGAAACCTCTAGAAATATTGATAGTTTTACAAATAACTTACTGGAATCATAATTTTCAGACATTTTTATCCTCAGTCCCCCAATGGAGTGTATTTTTAAGTTTTTAAAAAATGTAATTGTTTTTTTCACCTTCATCTGTTATATAGAAGTGATTTTCAAAAATCTGGAAATTGATAAATATTTCATATTTTCAAAAAATGAACTATAATATAAAATTAAAAAAACGTTAAACAAACAAAGAAAAAATTTTTTGGGTGACACAATTTCTAACCACTCGTTTGTAAAACTAATTAATTATCTGCTGTCTTTACAACAAATTAAACAAAAGAAACATTTTTTTTTTTCAAATTTGCTGTTTGATTTATAACACTGTAAAAACGATTTACATTTTGCTTTTTCAATTCACTATATAATTTAGTCTAAGGCAAGAACAAATTATTAATTTTGTATCTGAGTTAGACTTTAATCTAAAGCAGATCTAATAATAAAATGCACTTCAAGTTCATTACTTTATTATTATCATATTTATTGTTTACTATCAATGTACTAGGTGCACCGCCGAATTCGCTCCCACGATTTACCGATAACGAGGTAAATGTTTTATATTTTCTCAAGTAATAGTAATATTTGTAAACTAAGTTTTACCTTATAATATGTAAGTGGTATACAATTATATTATGTTATGGATGGTGTTCTGGTAGAATGTATCTATCAGCCAGGTGCTTTGGTAAAAATTAGTACACAAAAAAAAAATTAACAACTTTCAGTAATAGCTAACAATAAATTATTACCTTTTTCCGTAAATAAAATGATTAACAAATAAAAATTGTACATTTATTCATTATGTATAAATTACAATTTTTGTACAAAAATCTGTAGATAATTAGTTAAATATTATTCTCAAATGAAAAAATTGATCATGGGATTAGAAATATGTTGGTATACTTTACCATACTACCTAACCTAACCGTCCTAAATTCTTAACATTAGTAACTTTAAGATAAATGATCGAATACCGGTTATAGATCAGTCTAAATTTTCAAAATAAAATGTTACATAGTTAAAAGATACCTCCACTGCCCCTATAAAATCATGAAACCTCTAGACATATTGATAGTTTTACAAATAACTTACTGAATCATAATTTTCAGACATTTTTATCCTCAGTCCCCCAATGGGGACTTCAACTTCAACT